AGTTGTAATAGCTAACCCAATAAAAGTCAATAAAGTATCACCACAAGTATGGCCTTTAATACAAAAAAAAAAAAAAATTTTCTAATTTATTTAAATCTTTCATATGTTAAATATATATATTTTTTAAAATATAGAAAAGCCCAAAGCTCTAAAAGACATAACAAACATTTTAGAAGTTGTTAATAGTTTTAGAAAGGCTAGATATATTAACAATAGCAAATCAAATACGCAATGCCATGCAGACATCTTTAGATTCATCTGCTATTATAGTCACTTAATCCAAAGCAACAATAGCATTAAGAAATGCTACTGATAATAAAGTATTGTATTTTCTTTATTAACTTATTTCATATTTTATGTAACTTAAAAATAACTTTTTAAATTTTATCTATAGGGTCTTGCCTGGCTCTGGCATGAAGAAATAAAGTGTCTTTTTCTCAAATATAGAGACCCACCATCTGGAGCTATTGAAAGCCTAATTACAAAAATTTTTAAATATGATCTCTATAGTAATAAGACTGTAGAAATAATTTGTCATTTAAAAAGAATCTTAACAGATTTTTGCAACAAATTCAACCAAAGAATTGTTACATTAGTAAATGATTTTAAGAAAAAACAATTAGGAGAACAAACACTATTACCATTAAGATCTGATCTCAATGAATTCATAACTCAAGAAGTTACTGAACAAATATTACAAAAATACCTAAATAGTACTAATGTAGATAAGATTAAGAGGTGTAAAACAATAGACCAGCTAATTAAATTAATCAAAAAGCCATTCAAAATATCTTTTAATACTTATGATACTAAAGCAATCAAAAGACTTGACTATCTTATGATAGGTTGCAAAATTTCAAGTAGATCTGGTAAAAATATAGTATTAGAGATTTTTCTTACAATTAATAGTAATAATAATCATATCTAGAAAATGCTTATTATAATACTTGGCATTTACATTTTATTTTTCTATATGAAATATTAGAGTTTGAATGATGATTAATTATATGTATTGTTAAATATATAATTACTATAGCAATAAAAGTTTATATCTAGCAATAGTAGTTATTTTAATTTAACAGTAGCTTTGTTGAAAGGAGGTGTTAGTTGAAATTTGTTTTTGTTAACTAATTAATTTATTAATAGTTTCATTTCAGACTATTAAGTATAACTCTAGTGCCTGATTAAAATACATATTTTATCATTGATCAAATTATATAATACTATCATTAGAATTAGAATGACTATAAAGAATAGAGTTCTTGTATTACATTCTAATTTCTATATTTATATCAATCAATCCTTAATTTCCTTTCTCATGTTCTTGATACATGATCTATCAAATTATTTGTATAAGTGATATGATGTATTACATACTCACATGAAAAATTTTTGACAGGTAAGATTTAACAAGTTCTTAAGAAATGTTTATATGATTTGTTAATTTAAACACTTTTTAAGTTGACAGCAATAAAGCCCTATTTATTTGTACAATCTTTGCCTTATAACATATCTCACAGGTAACAAGTTTATATTTTTTAGTTGAAATTGTCTAATAAAAAAATATATATATATATTCTAATTTTTCATTATATAGTTATAAACAAGAAAATCTTAGCAAATTTTGACTAATTAATATTGCTTGTTTTTTGATATCCAAAGTCCTTTTTGCTGTTTCTCTGCATCCAATTTTCAAACTCAAATATTATTCTATATCTTATTTAATTTTAGACATTTTTGCTTGAACAGCTCAAATAAATTTTTATTATCTTTTATACTGTATAGCAATAGCAGACAGATTTGTATACTTAGTCATCTTAGTCAAATACAAAGAGACCTCTCTAAATGTACACAATAGAAACAGAACTTCTAAAAACATGTATTTAGAGAACAATAAGAAAATGTATATTTATAGAGTCAAGTATATACTTAGGCTGGAAGTTAAAAGTGCATTTAGAAAGAGTGTATTTAGAGAGGTCTCTCTGTATCATGTTTAATTTTGCTTTTAAAAATTACAGTTAATTGTTGTTATATGGCTTCTGAAGATCCAAAAAAGTAAGTGAAAAATCTAAAGAATGCAATATCTAAGCATTGCCAAAAACAATATTGATGGAAAGCCCTTAAATAGATAATTTAATTTGCTTATATGTAATACTATACAGTCAACTCTTTTTAAATGCAACCTCTCTAAGTGCAACTTCTCTCTAAATGCAACATTAAATTCTGGCCTACATATATGTTTAATTTCTATAAAAGTGATTTTTCTTAATTATTAATTGTTCTTTAAATACATACTGCTAAAAGGCTGGTCTCAACGAATTGCACTTAGAGATAGTTGACAGTACCTTAAGTTACAATTTAATTTACATACAATCTGCTCAAAAAAATGCATTCATCAAAAATTCACAGTTTATCTGTAAGACAATATAAGATTTTAAATAAATACAATTATATTCGAAAATTTTTAAAAACTATCTTATAACAATACTGTACAAATTATTAGGATGTGAAATAAAAGAGTAAGATCATTTTTATTATGTATTTAATTAATTGCATTTAGTAATTCTCTAAATTACCAACTTGGGATGTTCTAATGTTAAATAATAATTATGATACTTAAACATCACAATTTATGATAATATTGATAGAATTAAATGCTTGTGCATGCTCTTTCTTTATTATGCAACTTATAAAAAAAATTTTTTTCGATTACCTGCTAAAAAACTTAAATATTAGTTGCGTTGGCTTCTCCCTTAATGATTTTGCCAATTTATTCAATTTATTATAACTTAATTGTCCATTAAGTATATATGAAAAATGTTTATTCAAAACTCTTCTATTTTAGATTTTCTTTACCAAGAAGCTTCTAATTTAAATAAATGAACAATGTATAAGCATTATTCATTATAGTTTTGTTAAATATTATATTCGAATTAAGGTATTGATTATTTGTTTTAAAAGTAGTAATTTTTTTAGATCAGTTGAGATTTCAATATTTATTATGTTTGATATATAAAAAAATATGCACATATGATCTATATTAATGGTAAATTTTTGAAGAAAAAAGATGGATTGTATTTTACCTATTTTTCATCCAAATGATAACTTATTTAATTAATTTATTTATCTTTCAACTAATAAATTTTACTTTTAATCTGTAAGGTAAGATGCTTAAGAATGCTCTTAACCAAATATATATATAGTACATAAAAGGCATATAATTAAAATGGCATAATTCGATTATTATTTATATTTAGCTTTTTTAATACTATAAAATAAATGTAGATATTGTGATGAAATGAACATATAACAATTAGACATGTTTTTTATGCTAAAATTATTTCAAATTGATTTTTTTGTTTAATATACTATAGCAAAATTATTATTTAAACAGCTTTATTTATAAATTTTAACTTATTTTAGTTTTAAATTCTAATTAATTTGCTAAATATTGGTTGCTTTATTGATCTACTTTTAGTTCAAATATCTATAGAAAAGTTAAAAATTATTATTAGGCTATACAAACTTAATAAATTGGTTCTTATAACTTAACCAAGTCAAATTTCAAAAAATTCTTAAAAAATTTTTGACTATATTTACTATTCAGATGAAGTTTTTTTAAAAGTTTATAAAAATTTTTATATGCTTTTTATATATATAAATTTTTTGAAAATAAAATTAAAAGCCAGATTGCTAGATTATTTTTCAAATTTTATATTATGAGAACCAAAAATTAACTTTGTATAGCCTTATATAAAAATTATTATATAATTTATATAAAACAATTTTTTTTACTAAAAAATAGCTAATTTGGCAACTTTAAAACTACTTTAAAGTAACAATAAAGTAACTATATAATTACTTTATAGTAGTTATTATTATTATTTTATTATAATTTTATAAAAAATTTTTAAAAATCAAAATTTTGATTTTTAAAAATTTTTATAAAATTGTAGTAAAGATATAATAAAATAGTAGTAAAATAGTAGTAAAAATAGTAACTAATATGTTGCTAATATATAGTAAACACAAAACTATAATTACTACAAATTAATTATATAGTTACTTTATAGTTACTATAAAGTTACTATATAGTTGCAAATTTACAAGTTTCAGTAAAATATTATAAAAAACTATCTTTTGTTGATTAGTTGAATTTAGGTATCTGTAATCTTGAGTACAACCAATCAGATTTTACTTATCATTGGAAACTTAGAACATTTATATAAAGTGTAATATTACACATACATAAATAAATGTTAATAACCAGTATTATATAAGACCTTGGTGCAAACCTATGATAAGACTACCAGATACAGAAGATCAAGAAACTGAGAAAATAGAATCTTACTTAGAAATTTCTAAGTAAAGAGGTAGCACAAACTTTTAATAATGCTGTTAGATTGATGAAAGCCTAAAAAACCCCAATAAGAAATAAGTGAACATATAACTAGATAAAAAGATATATAAAGAAGCATATAACTAACCAGGTTGCCAGAATTATTAAAGAAAAAGAATACTAAAGATATATCATATTGGACTATCTAAATTGAAAATTCAAGAAGTTTATCAGATTCTAAGTTAGATAATAGAAAGATAAAAAGAAGAAGTCAAAAAAATAGGTACTAGATTTGAATGAACTTTACAAGAGTAAAAATAATATAATATAGCAGTTAAACAGATAACTCTTATAATTGCAAATATTAAGTAACTATAGTATATTACATAAAACTAGATTAACTATATGTAGAATACAAAAGGTTTTAGTAATAATGCTTTTGAAGATACACTGCATAAAACAAAATATGAGGTTCTAAGAATATAAATTGAGCATTTAAACCTTTTTGACTAATGTATTACAGATCGAATAAAGACATATTAGCAGTATTATAACTGAAATAATATTAGATAAATATTAGAAAACTGATAGAAAATAAAAATTTTAAGTTTAATCAAATCACTAATATTAAATAAAATTTAATCTAAAACTACTGATATTTTAAAAACAACTAAAAAATTACAGGAATAATTTCAGAAATATTGATATAGTTTAAAGATTATATGAAAACATATCAGCAGTTTTATAATTAAAATAATATCAAATAAATATTAATTTTAAGTTTAATTAAAAAAATATTGGATTAATGATATTAAAATAATATTGAACCTAAAAACTACTAATATTTTAAAAACAACTAGAAAATTACAAAAATAATTTCAAAAATACTGATATAATTATTAAAATTTCTATAATACTAACAAGGTATAAAGAAGATATATCAAAAGAAGCATAACTAGAATAATATTAATAAAATATTTTGCTGCTAATAAAAAATATAAATTTTAAATATAATCATAAAAATTTCAAAAGCTGATATTAATTAGAATATAATTCTAAAAATATCAATATTTTAAATACAACTTGTTAGTATTTGAAATAATTTTAGATATTTAAATATAGTTATAAAGCTATCTATAATACTATAGTATAGGGGTGTGGCAACCTAGTGAAGTGGTCAGGTTGTCAACCCCCCAAGTGGTAGGTTGGGTGTTCAAATCTCATCAATGACGAAAATTTGAATAATCGCCTATGTAATATTCATATTACAGCAACTATTACTAATGATTGGGTTAGGATACTTGTAATGGCGGTTGCACCAGCATGACTGGCAGGTCATGAGGCATCCGTGCAATGTTGGAGTTACACAGAGGAATGCAAATTGACAAATCAGGCAGTGCAAACACTAGATAAGTCCTTGTGGCTGTATAAATCTGTTGAAATTGGATAACAAGAAGTCCATTTGGGAAGATCTGAGTAAAGAGATAGCTGGATCTTCGACAGCCCTACTGTAAAGGCTAGCCTGAGAAAATGGATACCCAGGTCTAGTACCTGGTCCTAGTAGCTGGACGGGCAAGAACCTTCAAGTT